GTTTCTAAGAATACGTCATCAGATTTTACTCAAATAGGCTCACTCATGCACCGCTTTGGACAAGATCTGTAGGGAATGAACATGCCGAGATACAGCCGCGCTGTGGGCGACGCTGATCATTAGAGGAGCTAGCACCATCTAAATGAACGGCTTCCCTCCCCTCTCCCCCTTTCTTATGTTTTAATCTTTTTCTTAAGAATAAGCGTATATAAATGATTGTATGGTTAACTTTATAATGGAAGAATCTGGGTGTAGGAATCAAGTCAGGAGTGAGCGCTAATTTCTGAACTTGAAGATAACATTATTTCATTTTCAGGGAAAATATATACGTATAATAAGAATTTATGCCATTTATGTCTAGCATGAAGGCCTAGACATGATTTGAACATGAGCAATATCTGATAGCCGTTGTTGTATACGTTGAACAAGGTCCTCTCCTTCTCCAACAACACACTCTAATTCGCGAGCCACCTGGATGATGTATTGTATTATTTCATAGAAAACGTTCGTTACTTAAGTTCAAACCTTTGATCTTTCCGCGTCTACTTGCAGTAATTGCTCTACAGTGTCTCCATTTCCAGCGTCTTCAATGGGGAAGGAATCTATCAAAACCTACAACAACTTCCACACTGAACTGCAACTAGAACTGAAGAAAAAGATCACGGATAAACCTCGACATCTTTTGCAGTTCTTGCTATATGTGCGGCGAATAATTGACAATTGGTCTCTTCCTCTAACTCCTGAATATCAACTTCGACAGAAATACGATTTTACAAACATGTGCGGATTTCAACTTATTGTGAAAATTCACATCGACGGTTTAAAACGCCATACAAAGAACGGAATGAAAAAGGAATACCCAGAGCTGACATTTCCATCCTTTCAACTACGAGAAACGAACACACAAAGAACCGTCAAACTCACTGGATTACTTCGATCAAAATCACATGGTGGAGCTGTTGCCTGAAGCACTCCGACTGCGTTCGTCATGAACGATGCCAGTTCATTTATGAGATCTTGTAGTTGAGTTAATCTATCGGACATTCAGTCTTGTAAAAATACTGGAATTGCACCATACAAGCAAATGGATGCTCATAATTTTTATGCACACTTCTAAGAGTTTTTAAATGACTTTCTATACTCCCTGATTGTCACTAAAAAAAGACTAACATTCAATCGTAAAGCGGCTTCCAAATGTCTTCAAGAGTTATTTTAGCGGAATGTAGAGCTGATTAGCAGCTAAAACATGCTATATCAAGGAAAATACTTCTCATGTCAAGCAGGTTTACGACCATGTCGTCCTGCAGATACAATAAAGCGAAGGATGCCTATGTGTGGCAAAGTGAAATTGTCAACTCTAAGCAAAATCAACAAAAAATCTCAGAAAACTGTTAAACACCTTTACACTTTTGGGGTAACTGGTGGCTTGATAGAAATAGAGATGAGATATAGCAAAACAAATCGCTACTTAAAAAGAATATTTCAAGAAGGCAAAAAATGTTTATTTACGGAAACAAAAATCAATACTTGTACTTGGTTGAGTAGTCCTTCGGGGAAACGACCAGACCCCGTCCTTTCCGCGCACCTCTTGAATAAAAGTATGAATAATTCAACACAAACAGCAGAAAAAGATATATGCTTATGAGGTCCAGTACTAGAAAGTTTGCAGTTACCTCTCCTTCACTAGTGATTCGTTAGCAAAGGAGCATTGACTGCTTGCTAGGATTACAGCTCTAACTAGCCGATACCCCTGCTGCATTGCAAAAGGACCGTTCACGCTTTTAAAGCCGATTAGAGTTCTTAAAACATACCTATACACAGTTTCAATGATGTCAATAAGCTCCTGCCCATCCGTAATCGGCCAGTTGATTTTATTGTTGTTACCAGTTCCTGTAGTAACTTATCACATGATACGAGGTACTATACGTGGAAACTAAAAGATTTAGAAAAAAAATAGGGCACGGCTCACCTAGGTCCACCATGATATGTTTGTTCCTAAAAAAGAACATCACCGTGCAAGGATCGTACAACTCGTACATTTTGTTAAAATCTGGTACCTAAACCATGTAAACATTGTTTGCATCATTTATCAGCGCATACCGAACGGAACTATATATTTAATCGAAGGAAAATTAGATGACTGCACAAACCTTGGTGATGTCGACAAGATATATCACAGAAAAGTTTTTCACTTTCGGAGCAATTTTGAAAAGTGTCTGCAAAGTAACTATATTAAATAGAGAATTTAAAAATCCTTACAACAGAAGCATTACCTCATCCATCCGCATGCAAGTGGGATCCCAATCGTGTCCAAATCGAACAACAACCACACGATCTTCTTCGGCTAGGATGGCTTGGTCCACCTCAATCCATATACATTGAGTATACCAAAACGCTGTTTTAGCCAAGTTTAAAATTTCAATATTTTATTGAATATCTAAGATGCTTATCAGTTCTTTCAACTCAAACCTCACTAAAGCGGCTTTTCACATCATAACTTTGAAGCTTATGTGTATATTGTCTATTACCTGACTTTATTAAGAAGAAGGTTTTGTTCGACCTATATGAGTACTGTAAATCAGTAATAATGTCAAGGAATTCTATCAACAAAAATTTTT